ATTTACATTGTTTTTGGTGATAAACTGTAAGTCATTTTGAACATTTTTTTAAATAATTTCTGTCAATTCTGGAGTATTTTTTGGTAATTCTGGATAAATTGTTTGATAAGTCATTTTTAATATCTCTGCATCCTTCTCATTTCTTGTGTAAAAGTCACGCTGGAGTTTTATCGAGTATCGTTTCACTTTCAACACAAATCTGAGGTGAACAAGTTGAGTGAAATGATTTATTGAAGGATTTTCCCACATTTCAGCCCCGATTATCGTCCATAAACATCACAGGGAGGCTTCAATATACAGAATATACACAACTTTGCTCCACAAATTAAAATCGATCAGGCTACAAAAAGAAAATTCCTCAATAATTGCTGTATTTTTCTCCACTAGAGCTGAAGGTTGTTGCTTCCAGCTGTTTAGGATGATTTCCTCTGAGCTTATTAATGATTTAATGCAGGATTTTTACACATTTCAGCACCGATATTCACCCAGAAGCAGTTTGCTAACGCTCCTTTCTTGCTCTACAACTTCAGATTTGGTTGATTTCATGTGATCTGGTTTTCCAGCCTGACTTGTTCTACCTCACCTGGTTTATCCTCGTTTACCCGTCGGTTCTGCTCCGTCCCAGGTTCATCCTGCCGGGCGACGTCGACCTGGATGACCTCCCTTACGAAGACCTGCTGTCTGACGACGAGGAGCTGGAGATGAAGAAGGAGAAGGAGAAGAGGAGGAGGCAGGAGCTGCTGGATAAGATCGACTTCAGCAGGTAACCATCAGTCAGACGGCCGCCGACGTTCTAATCGTTCATCAGCCGCCGTCTCGTTTTTCTCCACCGTGGGCTCATTTTTCACGACGTCCTGGAAGCAGAACGGCCGTGACCAGAAGGAGGAAGAGCTCGGAGACGTTCACGACGACGCGGTTAGAATCGGGAAAAAGGAAAATAAAGAATCTGTTGAAAAGTTGGTGCAAGAAACACAATAATTCTCACTGATGAAAAACTGTAAAATGCAAAGTAATTCCCTAAAAAAGCTCCGACTTTGTGAATCAAAGCCGCCCAACTCAGAAGCACCTTTACCTGCTCGGAGCCCGAGGCACAGACCAGCTCTAATGTGATGTAACCAAAAAAAATCTGCCTTTTTGAAAATCTCTGCTTTAAACTATGGCTGAATTTCTGCTTTTATGTCTCAGAAAAACATTTAAAATCATCCGTTGACTTTATTTCAAGGGCAGAAGGCTCCAAATTTAACGGCTTTTTTTTCCTGGTTTTTATTGATGTTTGGTTTCTGAAATGTCAGAAGAAGGAGACGACGTTTTGAAATCATCGATTTCATCAGGAATTAGTTTAAAAAGAAAGAAAATCACTCAACGACCTACGTGTTGGCAGCTTCTTCTTTTTCCTCTTCCTCCTCCTTCTTCGTCTTCTTCTTCTTCGTCTTCTTCGTCTTCTTCTTCTTCGTCTTCTTCGTCTTCTTCTTGTCTTCCTCCTTCATCTTCCTCTTCTTCTCCTCCTCCTCCTTCTTCGTCTTCTTCTTCGTCTTCTTCGTTTTCTTCTCCTCCTTCTTCTGCTTCATTTTTCTTCTCCTTTTTTTGTCTAATTGTTGCATCATTTTGACGTCTTTTTGTCTAATTGTTGCATCATTTGTGCATCTTTTAATCTAATTTTTGCATCTTTTTGTGGATAAAAATGAACCCACGGTGGATAAAAATGAACCTCGGTGGATAAAAATGAACCCACTGTGGATAAAAATGAACCCACTGTGGATAAAAATGAACCCACTGTGGATAAAAACGAACCCACTGTGGATAAAAACGAACCCACGGTGGATAAAAATGAACCTCGGTGGATAAAAATNAGACAGAAAATGACCATAAAGAGACAGAAAATGATTCTAAAAAGACACTTAAACACCCTGAAGAAACAGAAAATGACCACAAAATGAACAATCATTGACACAAAGCAACCATGAACAGACACAAAATGACAACAAAAAGACAAAATGACGACAGAGAGACAGGAATCGACCACAAAAGACTGAATCAACAACAACAAAAAGACAAACAACCAGAAACACATGTGATGCCTGAAACATGTCAGAATGACTCAGAATCACCACAAAATCCACCAAAGACACAAAACGACCACAAAGAAACTCAAAACTTTAAAATGAACGATTGTTTTCTGGTGGAGCTTCTTCTCCTCCTCGTTCCTACCAAACACACTCTGATGCTTCAGATCCGGTCCTTCATCTCGTCGCTGTCCGTTGTGTAATTCTGGTCGTCTGCTTCGTCCTTCCTGCAGATCGATAACGAGGAGTACGGCGAGGCGCTGTCGCTGGCTCAGGCCTACAACCTGGACTCTGACCTGGTCTACCAGAGGCAGTGGAGGAAGAGCACCGTCAGCATCGCCTCCATTCAGGACTACCTGGTGAGCAGATCAGCAGTAGGAACCGTATGGCTGCAGCCGACTTCCCGTCCTCATTCTCTGTCCCTGTTTATCCTCCCAGAGCAAGATCCGCAAGCGCTCGTGGGTTCTGCACGAGTGCGTGGAGCGAGTCCCGGAGAACGTGGACGCTGCCAAAGAGCTGCTGCAGTACGGCCTGAAGGGAACCGACCTGGAGGCGCTGATCGCCATCGGGAACAGGGAGGACGGAGGCAGGTGAGATGACGGG